CACCACCATCCTCCGGCACCCATGCTCATCCCGTAGGCTCGGTGCGGGTCCACCTCTGCTCCTGGCACCCTTAGAGCAGTGAGGGAGGGGGGGCTCTGACGCGCCAGGCCAGGGAAAGGAGAAGGGCGAGGAGGAAACTGGGCTGTAGGAGCTACTCCGAGGGCTGAACCGAGCCGGGCTCCATCCCCATCTCCCTTCGTGGCGCTCCTGTTTTCCCCCCCCCGCTGCCGCTCCCCCGCATGGTGTGGTGTGAGCGCCCTGCCGTTTCGTCTCCTGCTCCTCTCTGCTTCTCTCCCTGAGCTCCTTTCATACCTCGCTTCACTGGGGGGGGGGTGGGCGCGCCCCCCCATCCTTCTCCGAGCCCACCGCGGCCTGGCGCCTTCCTCCTCTCCGTGTGGAGAGGACCTTTGTGGAGGGACCGGTGTGGGAGGGGGGAACCCGGTGCCACTGGCAGCGACTGCGTTGATGTGCGTGCTGTGAGTCCTGGCCCCCCTTGGGCTTGGGAAATGGCTAACATCAGCCTTTTTCTTTCTCTCTCTTTTTTTTTTTTTTGCTTTTTTTTTTTGTTTTTTTTTTTGTTTGTGTTTTTGTTTTTTTTTTTCTTTCCCCCCCTCCCTCCTTCCTTCTAGCTGACCAAGCTGCACCAGTTGGCAATGCAACAGTCACACTTTCCAATGTCTCATGGCAACACTGGATTCAGTGGTATGGAAACTCCTTCTCTCTTCTGTACGCTAGCGTGGGCCAAAGGCCAGCCCGGGAGCCGCTGCTCGGTTCCTCTCTAACGGGGCCTCCGCTTGGGTCTCGTGCTCGCCAAAAAAAAAAACAAAACCAAAAAAAACAAAACCAAAAAACCAACCAAACCAACCGTTCCCCCAGAGCCGAGCCTGGCCAGGTAATGATTTTTGTCGCGACGTCTCTGGGGGTGACTTGGTAGCGGCCTCTGCAAGTTGTGGGGGGCCGCAGAGGGTAGAAAAAGAGGAGAAAAACAAAAAAAACCCGAAAAAAAAACAAACTTAAAAACACCAAGCAGGCAGGGCCTCCATGCTGCTTTCCTTCCTCTTCACCCCATCCTCCACAGCTCTGCCAACGCACTGGGAGACCCCCCCGACCCGCAGCACCCTCTCTCTCCCCTCCGGCTACTCCAGTCCTGAGCAGGCAACTGTTGAGTCGTACCAAATTTTGCTGTAGATTTGCTAAGATGGCTAAAATAATCCGTTTGGGGCTCTAAACTTGAGACAGCCGAACTCATTGTCACTTGTATCTTAACAGGCATTGAATCCAGCTCTCCAGAGGTGAAAGGCTATTGGGGTAATGATCAAAAAACAAAATCTGTAGTTATTCTATTGTGTATTAATACTGGCTGGGGTCTCGTTCTCCCTGTTCAATGCTGCCCGCCTTTGTGCACGGATGGGAGGGGAAAGGGGGGGTCAAGGGGGACCCTTAGAAGGGCTGGAGGTACTGACTGCCTTGGTTGTACGTGCCCCGGAGGTTAGCCGGACAGCGGAGAGCAGCAGGGCTGCTTCTTCCAGCGCTTGACGCTGGTAACGAACCTTGGGGTCCGCTGGCTTTACC